GGGCTACGAGATGTCCAAGCCTGACCTTCGAGCCGAGCTGGAGGCTGATCTGAAGCTGATCTGCGAGGGGAAGAAAGACAAATCTGTAGTGTTGCAGCAGCAGGTCCAGAAGTACAAACAAGTCTTCATTGAGGCCGTGGCCAGAGCCAACAAGTGAGTTCTATCTTTACCCTCTTCCGCTCGCTTTGCTGGTCTGAGGGGTGCTGGCCTGTCATCTGAGGCTCAGCCTGGAGCGGGATCCTGTCACATTGTCTTCTTGGAGCTCTGCCCAGTGCATGCAGGCATCTGCATGGGATGGGGCAACTCAGCGTGGCACGCTGTCACGGGCTGCTAGCTGCTCATCGTGGTTTCAGCTGCTTGCATTAAATTCAGAGCTGGCTGGAGGAGATGTCAGAGTGCACTGACCTCTTCCATGGCACACCCACATCTCGAGGCACAGTGCTGAGTCATCATGCTCACAGAGAAGCTCAGAGGGGCTGTGCAGAGGGCAGCAGGCAGTAATTCACTGCCTGATGGCATTTTGGAGAGGAGACAGGATGCTCTGCTTATTTCCTTACAGGCTGGACCAGGCCCTGGCTCAGTATTTTGGAGAAGCCACAGAAATTGCTGAGCAAGAGGAAGTCTACCCAGCAATGCCTGATCCCATTCGGAAATGCCCACAGTGCAACAACGACATGGTCCTGAAGACCAAGAGGAACGGCGGGTCGGTGACCTTTTTTATCATTTCATACACAGGAGGCTGCTTTCTAAGTGTTCATTCACCTTTTCTCTGCAGCATGCTTGAAAACTTGGGCTTCAGCTGATGAACTCCACCAGCTACACAAGCTGCGTGGACTCAGCTGAACCTCCCTCTCAAGTTAAAACCAAATGTTGTTTGGACAGCTTCTGACAGCTGAGAAGAGAGGAGAAATATCACTGCCTGTCTCGATATTACCTCTTCTTCATGTGGTGCCTTTGTCCCACGGCAGGTTCTATCTCAGCTGCATGGGCTATCCGGCTTGTAAAACTGCAGTCTGGTTTCCTGATTTTGTGCTGGACGTGGCCAAGGACGAGAGCATCTGTGCAGAGTGTGGACCCCATCCTGTTCACAGGTAGGTCACACCAGCTATCCCTGAGGGAAATGTAACCCCTCAGACGTTGTGTTAGTCACCAGGGCCAGAGATTTCTGTGGGCTAGGCTGGGCAATCATTTTCTGTTCCAGTCTTGGACAGCTGGAGCAGCACTCCTGTGGGTTGGGGACGGAAAGAAGGTGGAGGGAAAGAGGTGAACAGCGTCAGTACAGCAGAATTAAAAAAAAATCAAGTCCATATCGAGGTCTTTGATGAGAAGCTGTATGAACTGGTAGGTTTGTATTCTCCCTTTCCTTTTAGGCTGAAGTTTAAGTTCAAGAGAGGCAGCGTTCCACCCGTGATGCCCCTGGAGTTTGTTGGCTGCATCGGTGGCTGCGATGAGATGCTGAGAGAGCTCCTGGACCTGAAGTACTTAAACAGGTCGACGCAGCCTGCGCCGCCAGCCAGCCAGCAAGCCAACCACTCGCAGGCCAACAACTCCTTCAGCAGAGCAAGCAGCGACAGCAGGCAGGCGAGGGGGGCCACGAACCCAGCAGCAGGACATCTCCTCTCCTTGAGTACCCCGAGAGCACACAGGCCTGCTCCTGCAGCTGCTCCAGACAACGGGAACAACGCAGTGGTGTGCAACTGTGGGAACGAAGCCACGCTGTTAACGGTGCGCAAAGAGGGACCCAATCAAGGCAGGCAGTTTTATAAATGTAACACCAATGCCTGCAATTTTTTCCTCTGGGCTAACGAGCAGTCAGAGGACAGAAGCAACGCGGCTCCGCGGGGCTCTGCACCGCCCCAGCCCTTTGGGGGAAGGGGCCAAGCAGGCTTTCAGAGACCAGGAGGAGGAGGGAGAGGCCCAGAGCTCTTTGGAAACAACAACTCCGGCTCAGGAGGTGGCACAGTCTGCAATTGTGAGCAGCCAGCTGTCACACGCACTGTCCAAAAAGACGGTCCTAACAAGGGGCGGCAGTTCCACACCTGCTCAAAACCCAGAGAGCAGCAGTGCGGCTTCTTCCAGTGGGCTGACGAAAATGCAGCACCAGGTAAGGCTGGACCTGGGGTGAGAGGCAAGGCTTGGAGGCTGGTCTTAAAGCTAAGCCCAGCAGACATTGCTCATATGTCCATAATGCTGTCACTGCACAGCTTTTGTAGGAACTCTTAGATTTGGCAGACTTCACGTTTGTCTTAGGATGTCTGTCAGCAGCATTACAGCACTTCAAAAGTTGTGCTTCAACCGAGTCAGGCTTACCTTTCTGTGAATGCCAGCAGGATGCGTCCTCCTATCACAGATCCAAGCTCTAAGCAGCAGCAGGATGCTTTGCTTTGCCATGCAGTAAGCTTGCCCGTCTGTCTGTCCATGTGGCCCTGGATGAAGCCCAGCAGGCTTCCCAACTGTCTGTCTGGGACAGAATTTGTCTGTCCCAGATCTTAGTGTTTGGTTTTGGGAGAGCTGTTCCTGACTTGATACAGAGTTGAAGCGGTGACACCACGTTTGGCAGTCTTAAACCCTCTTGTGTCACATCAGGGAAGCTGTGGTGCTCCCTCTGCCCCAGTTTGGGAACTCAGTGAAAGGCCAAGCCTGCCCGAAGCTTTGACACTGAGCGTGGCTGCAGTGGAAAGGTGCTGAAAGCAAAAAAAAATCCACTAAAAAAATCACAAAGAAAAGAAAAAGACAGAAAAAGCATTGACACAGAAGCACTGTAAGCAAAGTACAGAGGTGGAGACGTGGTCTGAGAGAGTTCCTCAACACCAGCCTCCTCCTTCTTAGACATTTGGCCCTAAAGGGGTAGAATGAAAATTTTCAGAGCTCCTTTAAAACCAAGTCTTATTCTGGCATGACAGCACGCAACCAGAAAGATCGGTTTTCCCTGTTCTGCTCACACATTTCTCTGATGCTGCAGGACAAATGGATAACATGCAAATGCTCAGACAAATCTGAACCAAGCGTGGTTTCAGGACTAATTTGAGTGGCTGGGGTGGTGAAATCCTTGATCTCCTGCCACTGTGAACCTGTCTTCTCTTTTTCACCTGTATGTTTTCAAAGGTATTTAAATCCAAGTCGTTCCTTTGTAGGGGCTTCTGGAGACGCCTCGTGGAACCACTTTGGGAGCAGCGGGTACTCAAGGGAGATGGGGAGTAAGATGAAGAGACCAAGCAACCTCTCCTCAGGAGGCACTGCCAAGAAACCACGGACCTGTAGCGTTTGCCACCAGCCTGGCCACACGAAGAAAACCTGTCCTCACAACCACTGAGCCTGGGTGGCTTCTCCTCAGAGTCTGGGAGCTGCCACAGAACCGAGCCTGAGGGCTTTCTGGAGGGGCTGGGTGCAGCCTGCTCCTGCCGGGGCTACCTCCATCGCTCAGCAGGGCTGGGCAGCAAGGGTTCGAGCAGCTCTGAGAAGTGGCTCCACTGCTTGTGTTATCCTTCGGATTTCAGCTGCTCTTCTGCTGAGCTGATTGGAGTAATTGGAAGCATTTGGAAACTGTGAGTCCTGCAGAGAAAACCGCAGTGGGTCTCGTCCGCTTGCAGCTCCCACTGTGGTCACATCCACACAGCATTTCTGCGTGAGGAGCTGGGTCGTAGCCACTGGGACAAGCCCCAGGGCTGCTTAACTCCCCTCACTTCCTGGCTTTCCACAGTGTGGAAATTTATTTTAAGCTCCCTGAGCACCATTCCCCGTGTTTTGTCACAGCCCCATGCCCCTCTTACCTTGGTTGTCCATCCGTGAAGGAGAGCCAGGTGCAGAGAGGATGGAGCTGGTCCTGCCCTGCAGGGGAAGCTCAGCTGCAGTGCTCAGGGAGAGCCTTTGTTTGAGGCTGCTCCTAAATTTGAAGCTGCATTCTTCCTCAAACCTCGAGGCGTGCCAGCGTGACGCTGCTAGCTAATGGAAGTTATTTTTGTTAGAGTAATAACTTTGTATTAAAAGATTATTTAATTTTTAAATTGGATACGGTGGCAACTTGCTGTTTCTTCCAGCTCACAATAGTTACACGATTCCTGTGAGAGCATCCACCCAAGTCTTGTTCTTTCCATTCACTCATCGGAACAATACAGCAGCTTTCTTGGCACAAACTCCCTGCAGCTTTTATTATTATTTTTTTTAGCAGGGAGCTGCAGGGGTGAAGGGAAAGCAGTTTTATCTCCCTAGCTGCATTTGTTGTCGTGCTGCTGTCCAGGAAAAGAGAGATACTGAGCTGAACCTGGAGGGAGTGCCTTTTTTCCTGCACTTCGTTTAGTCTGAGCTCCCTGAGAAAGCCAGCCTGCCTCCTCCCTCTGTTTGGGCTTTCTTTACTTCAAAGCAAGGAGTTCCACACCCCTGCCTTGTTCTCTTCTGCCAGGGGGCAGCGCTCAGCTGTTCCCCCAGGGCCTCTGGGGCTGCTCCTGAGCACAGGGCAGCTCCCCTGGGTCAGTGCTAAGGGGACACAGCACAATTTTAGAGGGTAGCTCGAAGCAGGGGTGGTCACAGCAGCACAGGATCGCTTTGAGGAAAAAAAAAAGAGCTTCTAACCCTGCCACAGCTCGTTGCTGTCAGCCTAGAGCTACAGAGGAAGGTCAGGAGAATTCACGTTGCGTTTCCCTGCACCCCTCGCTCCCCCTCTTAACAGCTGTAGCCTAAAAATACAGACCCGGTGGCGAAAATAACAGGATTACGAGGCTCTGTCATGCAGTCACTGAGCTGGCAGCAGCCTCCGAACAGCACCGGCAGCAGGAAACGTCTGCAGAGCACACAGGCAGCAGGTTCAGCGTTGCTGATGGCGCTGGCTGCTACCAGCTTTACTGGTTTAGCCCCAGTTGGTGCTCAGGGAGCGGAGCAGTGAGAGCCAGCAGGGAAACGGCACGAGCTGAGCACCACCAGGCAGCTCACACCACAGCCCGGCACTCCAGGACAGCTTCAGCCCTTATCAGAGGAGAGGAGACAAAACAGAGCTGAGACGAGGACCAGGGTACACAGTGCAGGTTTATTCTCACGGCTAACACTTGGGAAGTGGTTTGGAGGAACAGATTAATCTTCAGGCCGGGAGGAAACACAGCTGTTGTTTTCTTTCCCTCCCATAAACAAGATAACTCAAGGAAACTAAACCACAACAGGTGCTCACGTTGAAGTCCGTAGGATTTTTCCATCCCCACCAGTGTGCAAAACCAGCATCGCTCTCCCCGTTAAACACAGGAGTGCATTCCTTCACACCTGGGCTGCGGCCGGAGCCAAAGCAGCCCCTCCGAGGAGAAAAAGAACAAAACACTCAAACAAAACATCATTATAAAAAGCAGCAGGAGCCACTGCAGTTCTTGCAAGCACTCTGCTCCAAGCATCGTTCCCGTCCCCTCCTGCCCCACACCACGAGGCTCCAGGAGAACAGGACACCAAGACAGCAGCAAAACATGCACGGAAAGGTCACTTGACAGGCTGGAGGGGACTTCTTAGAGCAGCCAGCACCTGCCCAGACGCTGGCAATGCCACCCAGGAGCCCGCAGCTCCTCTGCCACCACCCTTCCAACCCCACAGAGCTGGCGAGGGACGAGGCTCCCAGCCCAGCAGCATGGCACTGTAAGAACACGTTGGGTGCTGGCAGAAGGACCCACACAGCACCCAGGACGCCCCAAACCGTGAGGTTTGCAGCAGCAGCACGGGACCAAACCTCTCCAGCTCCCTCGCAAGGGAAGGGGCTGCCCCAGGAGGCAGGGGAAGCTCGGCCCCGCTCAGGTCTCAGTTTCAGAGCACGAGGGGAGCCTGGCAGCTGGGAACAGACAGCAGTTTGCTGGAAACCAGAAGCCAAACTTGCCCCATGGTGGCTCCCAGCAGAGGGGACTCGCCTTTAGGTACTCCAGGCGCAGGCTGGGTTCCCCCTGGGTAAGGCAGAGCCTCGCAGCAAGAGGCTCCTTACGCCGCCGCCCACCCTCTTCTTCTCAGGCACGTTTTATTCAGAAAAAAGAAACAGTTTGGTTCATAAAGTGCAAGAACTTGGCCTCTTACCGACTAGGCAACTAGAAGCATCACAACCCATGGCAGGGAGCAGCAGGCAGAGGGGGCACACCCGATGCCAGGGTGGGGGGCTCCCCATGCAGTGCTCATTTCTCCCCCAGCAGCAATTCTGGCTCAGCCACCGCCCTGTAGAGCAAGAAGCCCATCTCCTCCACCTCCTCCTCCAGCAGCTCGCCAAAAAGGTTGACCTTGTGGTTGAAGTAGGAGGGCAGGACGCCCTGCTCCAGGTAGCCCACCAGCTCCTCCAGCACCTGCTGGAACCGAGCGGCGAGGCTGCCCTCTGCCCAGTCCCCCCCCGCGGCGCTGAGATGCAGCACGACGTGCACCAAGGGGCTGCCGCTCAGTCTGTGCAGGGCAGGGTGGCTCCTGCAGACGTTGTTCAAGACACGGAGGCAGCTCTGCCGGGCTCCAGCATCACCAGCATCCAGCTCCCTCACCTTCGAAGCCTCCGCCCTGCCGAAGCTCTCCAGCCAGAGGTTTTCCACCAAGCCCTGGGGAGGAGCGGCCAGCAGAACCCTGCCGTCCATCTCCACCACGGGGAAAAGGGCGATGCTCAGCTCCAGCTCCTCGTGTTTCACCTCCAGCCTCAGCTCCCTGGAGGCCACCACCGGGCGGATGAGGCTGCCCAGGAGGCTGCCGATGGCCGGCCAGTTGATGGAAGCCACCAGCAGCTTGTGCAGGGTCTCGTTGAGCGCGTTGGAGGAGAGGTAGCGACCCACCAGGAACTTATCCCAGGGGCTGCACCCCCGAGGGAAATACTCCAGGGCCCTCCTCTTGATCAGCCAGTACCGGGGGTTTCTCACCACCGTGTCCTCCCCCGGGATGAGGCTCCAGAGCGCGGCGTCGAGGACCACGGGCAGCATGAAGTGGACGTGGTCAGCGGCCAGAGCCCCGAGGCCGTCGAGCAGGGGACCGCTGAGGAAGAGGCTGCCAAAAGGCAGCTCCGGGCACTTGTTCCTCAAGAAGTTTTGCAGCTCGGTGCAGATGCTGCGGGCCAGCTGCCGGCCGAACGCTGCTTGTGCCTCGTGCACGGCCAGGAGGCTGCTGTGGTGCAAGAGGAGCTTCTCCTGCAGCGTGAGGCAGTGCTGGGGGATGGATTCTGCTTGAGGAGGCTCTGGAGGTGCCGGGCAAGCCCTGGGCTCTGCAAGAAGGGGATGGGGCTAAGGAAAAAGTCATGGCTCTGGGCAGATCAGCTGCACCAGCGACTGGTGAAAGTGTGAGCTCAAAGTGCAGCCCTGAGCCTTTAGAGGTGAGGCTGAGCTCGCCGAGAGGGGCACCAAGCAAAACTCTGACCTTAACAGCGCCTTACAGCCAACACGGGGCTCAAACCCCAAAACCCAGCAGCACCCAGGGGTGCTAGAGGAGGGCAGCCCAGGCTAAGCAGCAGCAGCCAGGCCAGGATGAAGTGTCAGGGCCCTCTGCAAGCCTCAGCCCCATCGCTTGCCCCTTCCACCCTTCGGCAGCCCCAGCCCTGCCCCAGTGTCTGCCAAATTGCTTCGGTGCTGCCAACGATCCTGATCGGGGCACAGCACCTCAGGACCTTCCCCCACACCAAGCCAGGCAAATCAGCCTTTGTCCACGAGCACACCTTGCTCCCTGCACAGAGCTGACCCCCCCAAAAAAACAGGCATTGTTCAACGGGAAACAAAAAAAGCCCAGGCAGAGCCTGCACCGCGCCGGGCTGGCTGAGCCACCCGGGCTGCAAACAGCGCAGGCACTGCCAAAAAAGGGGCCGCGGCTCGGGAGCCTCCCACAGAGGAAGGCACAATCGGGTCAGCTTTCCGACCACAGAGCTAAAAATAACGTGGTGCTCCCAGGCAGCCGGGAGCACAGACACAGCCGGCCCCAGAGCATCAAGGTGATCTTCATCCACCCGTGGAGCCCGGCGCCCCGACCGCGAGCATCACCTGGTGCTGGTGGTGGAGCCGGAGGGAGCAGGGGCTCGCTGAGGTCTTCCCTTCGCTGCCTCTTGGGAGGTTTTTGCGTGGCTTTGATCAAGGCCAAGTCCTGCCAGCTCTCCTCTAGGGTCTTCTGCTCGGCTTTGGGATCGCCGTCATCGCGAGGGCTCGTGGCTCGGTCTATCAGCTGGAGGGAGAGACAGGAGGAGGGGATGTGTGTGAGGTCCCAAAAAAATCCCACACCTCACCCAGAGGGAACGCAGTGGGGGCTCTCCCATCCCTGCTGCAGGAGCTGCAGGCCCCAGAGGCTCCTCGTTCTGGCCGTGGCACCCACACAAACCCAGGGAGGGAAAGCCCCCCGAGCAGCAGCCCCCTCTGCAGAAGGCTGGGTGAGCAAGGGGCCGTTCCGCAAGGAAAACCAGCGTGCCAAGCTGTCCTCTCACCATTTTTTGGCAGTTGCATCCCAAACTAGAGGGCAACTGCCCCTCTGATACATGTGGGTAAGTGTGCAGGGCTACTACTGGCCCAAAAAATTAAATTTATGAAGCCAGAAAGACGCACATTAGCCTCCTACAGATTTTTAAAGGGAAAACATTGAGGTATCCAAATAGGAATAAGACCTGAGACACCTTCCTGGAAGGGACACAACACCCCAGACCCCATAAATGAAGCAGCAAAGAGGGCAAAGTGTTTGAGGGCGCAGCCCCACAGCCTGTCTCCGGGTGATATAGCCGGGGAGTCCCGGTAGCCCCATCCCGAAGCCCCCCACCATCCTCACCCGTTTGACGGCCAGCGTGGCGATGGCGAGCACGGCGGCCCCGCTGACCCCCAGCACCAGCCTGGCGTTGGCCAGCAGCACGTCGAGGACGCTGCCCAGCCCGCTGTCATCCTGCCGCTTGCCCCGCTTGTGCGTGAACTCCATGGCCAACCTGCGGAGGGGACGAAGGACAACGGAGCACCGGCAACCGGCACCGGGAGGGGGGGGCAACCACCGGGGGGCTAGCAGGGAGACCGAGCGGGCTACCGAAACGCTGGGCCCGACCAAGGGTCACCCCGGGTGCGGCTCCCGGGCCGTTGCGCAAGCAGGGGAGGGGACAGCGGGGCTGGGAACGGGACGGGGATTTTGGGGGGGGGGGGGGCTACACCGGGACCCCCGGGAACCCCCGGGAACCCCCGGGAAGGGCTGAGCCTTGGGGACCCCCACTCTGGGGGGGGGCTACCGGGGGGAGGGCAGCCGGGTGGGGGGCTCCCCGTGGGCACCGCACCCCAACCGAGCCGTGCCGATGCCCTGTATGTCCCCCACCCCAGCCCCGCACTCACCGCGTAGCCCCCCCGGTACCCCCCGGTACCCCCCGGTAGCCCCCCGGTAGCCCCGCAGAGCGGCGCGTGGCGGCGCGCCGGCGCGCCCGCAGCACCCCGGCGCGCCTCGGCGCAGCCAATCACAGCGAGGCTCCGGCGTTGACGTCACCGCCTGGGGGCGGGAAACCCGAGGGCGAGCGCGGCCGCTTCCTCCCCCGGGTCCTAGCGCCCGCCCGCTCCGCCCCAACGCCGCCATGGCGGCCACCGGGGTCCTGCCCTTCGTGCGCGGCGTCGACCTCAGCGGCAACGACTTCAAGGTGAGGGGGGCACCGGGGGGAGCACGGCCCCGGCCCCGTTCCCTGCCCCCGGGGCCGGCCCGCAGGGCACAGCCACGCCCCGGGGTGCCCGGCCCCCGGTACCGGGAGGGGTCCCCCCGGTGGTGGTGGTGGTGGGGTGGGGGGGGCGGTGATGGGGTCGGGGGGTGGTGATGGGGGTTTGGGGAACGGGGGGGGTCCGGTGGGGGTGGGATGCACCGGGTGGGGCCTGGAGGGGTGGAGGGTGGAGGGCCTGGAGGGCTGGGGGGGAGCGGGGATGGTGCCGACCCCATAAGGCTGGGTGACCCCATAGGGGTGGGACCGATCCTATAGGGATGGGTGACCCCATAGGGATGGGAGATCCCAGTTCCGGGTCCTGATCCCATAGGGCTGGGTGACCCCATAGGGGTGGGACCGATCCCAGTCCCGGGGAACGATCCCATAGGGCTGGGTGACCCCATAGGGATGGGAGATCCCAGGTTCCGGGTCCCGATCCTATAGGGCTGGGTGACCCCATAGGGGTGGGACCAATTCCATAGGGCTGGGTGACCCCATAGGCCTGGGAGATCCCAGTCCCGGGTCCCAATCCCATAGGGCTGGGAGATCCGAGGTCCCAGGTCCTGATCCCATATGGCTGGGTGATCCCAGTCCCGGGCCCTGATCCCACAGGGCTGGGAGATCCTAGCCCCCAGGTCCCAATCCCATAGGGCTGGGTGATACCTACCCCTGGGTCCCATAGGGCTGGGTGATCACAGTCCCTACATCCCCATCCCATAGGGCTGGGTGATCCCAGACTGCAGATCCTGATCCCATTGAGCTGGGCAATCACATCCCCTGGGTCCCGATACCATAGGGCTGGGTGACCGTGGCCCCTGGATCCTGATCCCAAAGGACTGGGTGATCTCAGCCCCCAGGTCCCAAAGGGCTGGGTGATCTCATCCCCCCAGGTCCTGATCCCAAAGGGCTGGGTGAACTCAGCCCCTAGGTCCTGATCCCATAGGGTTGGATGATCTCAGACACCCAGGTCCTAATCCCATAGGGCTGGACGATCGCAGCTCCCAGATCTCAGTCCCATAGGGCTGGGTGATCCTGGTCCCCCGGTCCCATAGGGCTGGGTGATCACAGCCCCCAGGTCCCAACGCCATATAGCTGGTCGATCATGGTCCCTGGGTCCAGATCCCATAAGGATGATCCCACCCCCCGGTTCCCAATCCCATAGGGCTGGACAATCACAGCCCCCAGATCCCAATCCCATAGGGCTGGGCAATCACAGCCCCCAGATCCCCATCCCATAGGGCTGGGTGATCCTGGCCCACCAGATCCCGATCCCATAGGGCTGGGTGATTGCGGCCCCCAGGTCCCAATCCCATAGGACTGGGTAATCCTGGCTCCCAAATCCCACAGGGTTGTGCAATCCCAGCCCCCAGAACCCACAGGGCTGGTCAATCCCAGCCTCCCCCCACCACCCTAGGGCCAAAGCGGGGTGTCCCCATAAACCCCATGGGGCAGGCAGCTCTCTCACCATCCCATTCCCTATAGGGTGGCTACTTCCCGGAGCACGTGAAGGCGATGAGCAGCCTGCGCTGGCTGAAGCTGAACCGCACGGGGCTCTGCTACCTGCCCGAGGAGCTCGCCGCCCTCCAGAAGCTGGTGAGAGCCCGGGGGGCCGGGGCTCGTCGCCCCCATGGCACCTCTAATAATAGGGCTGAGCTGTGGTGTGTGGCTGAAATGGGATGCGGGAGATGTTGGGAGCGGGGCCGAGGCTGATCCGTGCGGGGTTGCGCCTTGGTTTCGTAGCAAACCAGAGCAGAAACCCCACTCAGAGCTCCTCTGCCCTTTAATAAAAGGGAAGGGGGGAGCCTTATGGGGTTTTTTGGCCCTTGTATCTTCAAAAAAAAAAAAAAAGCAGCAGTAGGCAGCAGCTGCCAGGCTTTGTTTTTTGGGGGTGCCTGAGGCTCTGAGCGGTATTTGTGATGCTCGGGGGGGAGCAAAACTTCCCCAGGGTCCTCCTCCTGCCTCGCTGCCACCCCTTTGTCTGCCCCTTTCTGCATCACCCCGTGCAAAGCGCGTCCAGGAATTGGGGGCTGGGTTTGGGGGGCTGCAGGTGAGCACCCCAAACCCCGGAGGGCTCAGCCCCTTCTTCCCCCCCCCTCTCCCCGCAGGAGCATCTCTCCGTGAGCCACAACAACCTCACCACGCTCCACGGCGAGCTCTCCGGCCTGCCCTGCCTGCGGGTGAGTGTCCCCGGTGCCCCCCAGGCACCCCCCAGCCACCCCCCGGTGCTTTGGGGGCGCACAAAAACCCCATCCCCAGCCCTGCTGGAGGCTGCAGCAACCCCTCTCTCCCCTTTCCAAGGCCATCGTGGCTCGTGCCAACAGCCTGAAGAACTCAGGGGTCCCCGATGACATCTTCCAGCTGGACGACCTCTCGGTGCTGGTAGGCGCAGAGCCCCCCCACGCCGCCCTTCCCCAGCTCCCGGTCCTGTTCCCAACCCCTCAGCAGCCCCTCGTGCCCTTTTGGGGAGCGCAATGGGGCTGAGGAGCATCCTCAGGTCCCCGGGATGCTCCCTGTCCTCGGGGTTGGGTGGTGGTGGTGGGACGGGGGGCACCCACCCCACCCCACCCCGCTGCCTTTGCTCCCCCAGGACCTGAGCTACAACCAGCTGACGGAGTGCCCCCGGGAGCTGGAGAACGCCAAGAACATGCTGGTCCTAAACCTCGGCCACAACAGGTGGGGTTGCACCAGGCTCCCCAAAAAACCACCTTCCCCGCTGCCCCCTCCATCCCTCACCCCGCCTCGCTCCGGGTCTCCCTGCTCGGGTCGGATCCGGGGGCTGGTTCCAGGTCCCGGGGCCACCCCGAATGTCCCCGTGTCCCCGCAGCATCGAGGCCATCCCCAACCAGCTCTTCATCAACCTAACGGACCTGCTGTACCTCGACCTGAGCAACAACAAGCTGGAGAGCCTCCCCCCGCAGATGCGGCGCCTGGTGCACCTCCAGACCCTCATCCTCAACGACAACCCCCTGCTGCACGCGCAGCTCCGGTACGGCCCCGTATTTTTTTTTTTTTGGGGCTGGATCCCACAATTTCGGGGCTGTGCTGAGCCCTGCCTTGGTGCCATCCCTGCCCCATGTCCCCTCTGTGTCCTTGCAGGCAGCTCCCGGCGCTGACGGCCCTACAGACCCTGCACCTGAGGAACACGCAGCGCACGCAGAGCAACCTGCCCACCAGCCTCGAGGGCCTGGCCAACCTGGCAGGTGGGGCTGCTTGCCCTCCTCGGGGCTCTGTTCCCACCCCCCGGGGGTCTCCATCCCTTTTTTATCCCCCCCTAGACGTGGATCTGTCCTGCAACGACCTGAGCCGCGTCCCCGAGTGCCTCTACACCCTGGGCAGCCTGCGGCGCCTCAACCTGAGCAGCAACCAGATCACGGATCTGTCCCTCTGCATCGACCAGTGGGCCCAGCTGGAGACCCTCAATCTGTCCCGAAACCAGCTCACCTCCCTGCCCGTGCGTGCCCCCAACCCCTTTCTTCGTGCCCCTGCCCCTTTTTTTCGTGTCCCCGTCCCTCACCCCGCCACCTCCTCCATCCCCAGTCTGCCATCTGCAAGCTGACCAAGCTGAAGAAGCTCTACCTGAATTCCAACAAGCTGGACTTCGACGGGATCCCCTCGGGCATCGGCAAGCTCGCCAGCCTGGAGGAATTCATGGCAGCCAACAACAACCTGGAGCTCATCCCCGAGAGCCTCTGCAGGTGGGGGCAGCCCCCGGGAGGGGGCACAGAGGGTCCCCGGGGGGGACGTGCGCCCCGGGCTCAGCGTCTCCACGTCCCGCAGGTGCACGAAGCTGAGGAAGCTGGTGCTGAACAAGAACCGCCTGGTGACGCTGCCGGAGGCCATCCACTTCTTGACGGAGGTGGAGGTGAGACCCTAAGACCCACTGCAGCCCCACGGGGTGCCAGGGTTATGGGGTGGGATGGGGTGACAACAGGGCACGGCGTTTTGGGGCCGACGGCGCAAAGCGGCTCAGCCCGGGCGCCTGGTGGATTCGGGACTCCTTTTACCCACCCCTGTGCTTCAGAGCACTGAACTCTGCCCCCCCATGTCCTCGGCAGGTCCTGGACGTGCGCGAGAACCCCAACCTGGTGATGCCCCCCAAACCAGCAGACCGGGCAGCGGAGTGGTACAACATCGACTTCTCCCTGCAGAACCAGCTCCGCCTGGCTGGGGCTTCCCCAGCCACCGTGGCGGCTGCTGCAGCAGGCAAGTGGGGTAGAGAAGGTGGCAACCCCTCGGGAAGCAGCCTCACCCCATAACCTGCCCCGTGCTGGGATTTTTGGGGGGGTCCCGGCTGCTTTTCACCCCATCCCCTGCCCCCAGGGAGCGGCACCAAGGACCCCCTGGCCCGCAAGATGCGGCTGCGGCGGCGCAAGGACTCTGCCCAGGACGACCAAGCCAAGCAGGTGCTGAAGGGGATGTCGGACGTGGCGCAGGAAAAAAACAAGAAGATAGAGGTAAGGGGGGGGAGGAGAAGGGTCCCAGCTCCTCACGGGGTGCCCGGCAGCGTGGTGACCCCCTCCCTGTCCCCGCAGGAGAGCGGGGAGGCGAAGGCGCCGGACCTGAAGGCTCGCCGCTGGGACCAGGGCTTGGAGAAGCCCCAGTTGGACTACTCCGAGTTCTTCAGCGAGGACGTGGGGCAGCTCCCCGGCCTCTGCGTCTGGCAGATCGAGAATTTCGTGCCCACGCTGGTGGACGAGGCTTTCCACGGCAAGTTCTACGAGGCCGACTGCTACATCGTGCTCAA